GATTTTTTACTTGAGGAAAATAAAAAAACATTTGAGGGAAACAAAACTAACAAAGAGGAGCCCACCAAAAGGAATACAATCAAGATTTGGGGCTAAGCTTCCTACCTTAGTTGTAGGGCTAAGATTCATACCTTAATTATCAAATGAGATTTGAGCAGAACTGAATTATCCTTATGTTGAATGATACTCGATCTTAGATGGTATTCTGTGCGCCGCTAGGAAATGGGAAATAATGTGAGAGAGATATCGAGAGAAGAGTATTAGGTTAGGAGTTTAAATCTGAATTAAAAATTTTAAATAAGGATATAAGTGGACAAAAAATTACATTTTCATAAAGTTAGTAACTTTTTTAGAGAGAAAAAGAAAAAAAAAACTAGAAGATGCATCTCGAAGCTTTGATAAAATGATTTTTTTATTTGAGGAAAAACAAAAGAAAATTGAGGAAAACAAAAGTAACAACAAGGATCCCACAAAATTGAATATAATCATGATTTGGGGCTACGCTTCCTACCTTAGTTATCAAAATGAGACTTGAGTAGATCAAGGTTCTTCTATGATGGATGAAACTTATCCCTGATCTCGAGAAGGTATTCTATACGCCGCTGGGGAAAAGGGGAAACAATGTCAGAGATGGTATTCTGTGCGCCGCTAGGAGAGGGGAAATAATGTGAGAGAGATATCGAGAGAAGAGTATTAAGTTAGGAGTTTAAATCTGAATTAAAAATTTTAAATAAGGATATAAGTGGACAAAAAATTACATTTTCGATAAAGTTAGTATTTTTTTTGGGGGGAAGGATATTGTGACAACCAAGTTGTGTTACTACCAAGTAACTACCAATCAATCTCACCGTAGATCGATTATGTTGATCCAACGGTTATATTTATTTCCATGTTTGTATGGTCATGATTCCCCATATTTAAAGTGAAAGCATTAAATATGGGAAATCATAACCATACAAAGGTGAAAATAAATATAAAGTATTAAATTTGGGAAATCATGACCATACAGAGATGGAAATAAATATAACCGTTGGATCAATATAATCGATCTAACGGTAAGATTGATTGGTAGTCACTTGGTAGTAACACAACTTGGTTGTCACAATATCCTTCCCCTTTTTTTAGAGAGAAAAAGAAAAAGAAAACAAGAAGATGCATCTCGAAGCTTTGATAAAATAATTTTTTTATTTGAGGAAAATAAAAGAAAATTGACGAAAACAAAAGTAACAACAAGGATCCCACAAAATTGAATATAATCACGATTTGGGGCTACGCTTCCTACCTTAGTTATCAAAATGAGACTTGAGTAGATCAAGGTTCTTCTATGATGGATGAAACTTATCCCTGATCTCGAGAAGGTATTCTATACGCTGCTGGGGAAAAGGGGAAACAATGTCAAAGAAGGGTCAGGAGAAGAGTATTGGGTTAAGATTTAAAATTTGAATGAAAAATTTTAAATGTGGATATAAATAGAACAAAAAAATTAGGTTTTTAATAAAGTTGAAGTGTCTTTTTTATATATAAAAAAAAAAGGAATCTAGAATATGCTTCTAATAAGATGCTATTGTTAATTTTTCGAGAAAAATAAAAAAAAAATATCTAAGACTTGAACAAAAAGGAATCGTTAGGTTTTCGGGCTAAGTTTCATACCTTAGTTATAAAATGAGTCCAAATTTTCCTTATGGATGATATTTGAAAAAACTTATTCCTTTCTTTGGATGGTATTCTCTGCACTGCTAGGAAAAAGGTAAATAGTGTAAGAGAAGTGAGGAGAGAAGAGTGTTAGGTTAATAATTAAAATTTGAATTTAAAATTTAAAATGAGGTATAATGGAATAAAAAGATTACTTTTTCGATTGAATTATTTCAAAAAGAGAGAGAGAAAAACTAGAAGATGCTTTTGGAAGTATTGAGAACAAGTTTTATTTAGGAAAAAAAAATTGAGTAAAATAAAAGTCATAGAAAGGTAGGAGCAAAAAAGAATTTAGTAAGGTTTTAACCCTAAGCTTCCTACCCTAGTTATCAAATGAGACTTAAGTATATCCAAATTTCCTACCTTAGTTATTATGTGGATGGTATTATGTGTGCTGCTGAGAAAAGATGAGAATTATGTGAAAGAATTGTTGGAAAAAGGTATTAGGTTACAAGTTAAGATTTAAATTAAAAATTTAAAATGGGGATATAAATAGAACAAAAAAAATTATGTTTTCAATAAAACGAGTATGTTTAAACAAAATCTAGAAAATGCGTTAGGAGCTCTGATTAGAAGATTATTTTCCTTTTTTCTTATAGGAAAACAACAGTAACAAAGAGGTGGGAAGAAAAGGGAATATAGTCGGATATTTGGGCTAAGTTTCTTACCTTAGTTATCAAATGAGACTTTAGTATATCGAAATTCTTCTTATGTTGATTGAAACTCGAACACTAATCTATGGATTGTATTTTTTGTCTCATTGGGGAAAAAGGGAAATAATGAGATATATGTCAAGAGGTGAGTATTATGTTAACAGTTAAAATTGGAATTAAAAATTTAAAACAAGGATATATACAGAATAAAAAAGTTATGTTTTACTTACCACAAAAAAAAGTTATGTTTTTGATAAGGCTGCTATTTTTTTTATACAAGCATAGAATCTACAATATGCTTGGGGAAAACTACTACTACTATTATTATTATTATTACTATTATTATTATTAGGAAAATATAAAAAAATGTTTGACGAAAACCAAAGCAATAAAGAGGTAGGAAAAAAACGGAACATAGTCGGGTTTTCAGACTAAGCTTAATAACTTTGTTATCAAATTAGACTCTAACAAATTCAAATTCACTCTATATTGTTTGAAACTCAATTCTATTCTCTAGATGGTATTCTTGCCAGTGAATAATGTGAAAGAAGTGTTGGGAGAAGGGTATTAGGACGAGGGATTAAATCGAAATTAAAAATTTGAAATGAGGATATTAATGAAATAAAAAATTACTTTGTCGACAAAGTTTATATGTTTTTAGAGAAAGAGATAAGCTAGAAGATGCTTTTCAAAGCTTTCCGAAGAAGTGATTTTTATTTTTTTAAGGAAAACAAAAATAAATTGTGGAAAATAAAAGAAATAGAGAGATGAGAACAAAAGGGAATTCAATCAAGTTTTGGGCCTAAGCTTTCTACCTTAGTTGTCAAATGAGACTTAAGTAGATCTAAATTCTCTCTATATTAGTTGAAACCGGATCTGTATCATGTGGATGGTATTATGTATGCCATTCTGCGAATCGGGGAATAATGTGAGATAAATATTGGGAGAAGAATATTAGGTTAAGACTTAAATTTTAAATTAAAACATTTAAATGAGGATAAAAATGGAATAAAAAATTTTGTTTTTGATAATGTTGATGCATTTTTTAATAAAAAAAGGATAAAGAAGATAGAATATTCTTATGATAAGATGTTATCATATTTATTTTTGGGGGAAAATAAGTAAGTTGATCCGATTTTTAGGCTAAGCTTCATGTGTTAGTTATTAAATGGGACTTGAGCAAATTCAAAATGGATGGAACTTGAATCTATTTTTTGGGTGGTATTGTGTGCATTGCTAGGGAAAGAAGAAAAAATGTGAGAGAAGTGATATTTAAAACGAGGATATAAATTAAATAAAAAACGTAATTTTTTTGATAAAAGTGAAGAAAGAAGCTAGAAGATGTTTTTTGAAGCTTTGATGAAAAGCTAGTTTTCTTTTCCTGATAAAACAAAAAAAAAATATTTGAGGAAAATAAAACTAAAAGAGAGGTGGAAACAAAAATGAATGCAATCAAGTTTTAGGGCTAAACTCTTTGTTGGGATGGGGTCCCTCAAATTTAGCACAGAAGCGAATCTTAAGTCTGCATGTCGAGCTCGACACTCAAAGGTTGGCCTGAAGTCACCAGGTCAGCTAACATGTAGAAAAATGAAAAATTGTAGAAAGAGAGAGAAAAAGTGACATAATCAATTTTTAACATGGAAAACCTTCTCTAATGCGGAGAAGAAATAACTACGGGTCGTTAGTCCAGAAAATCTTTCACTATGAAAAAGAAAGATTACAAAGATTCAAGCCTCCCTAGTTACACACTAGAGGTACATTCCAATTTCATCAAGTATGGTGGTATTCTCAAACTTCTCTAAAGAGATCACTCTTCAAAATGCTCTTGAGCTAACATGAAAAATCAACCTCAAATTACAAATAGTTTCATGTATATATAGAGAGGTGAGAGGAACCCTTCACCTTCTTCCAGAATTTTCTTCAATGATTAGTGGGCAGCATTTATTGGAGGTGGTTATGCAGACATTGAGTCATGTACCCACTAATGAGGTGCATGTCAGCATTAAAGAAAGGAACCACCCCAACAAATCTCCACATTCCTACTTTAATGTGTCGGGTTCAACAGCAGCCTGGCACCCTCGCAGTAGTCTTCAAATTTTCTTGTTTGCGCTGTCTTGGTCATCGTGTCAAACCAATTGAGGTCGGTGTGCACTCTGACGACTTCGAGTTGTTCATCCTCCACCACATCCTGAATCTAGTGATACCTTGGGAGTGATAGGTTAAGTTATTTTCTAGATGAATAGTGCTATGATTATCACACTTCATCTCGTGCTAGTCCTAATCATGGTCGAGTTCATAAAGAAACTTCTTCATCCACAATATTTCTTTCTAAGCCTCAGTAGCGACTATGTACTTGGCCTCGGTCGTCGAAAGTGCCACACATTTTTGTAGTTTAGATCTCAAGGAGACAACTCTTCCTACCAAAGTCATCAAGTATCATGTGGTTGACTTCCTTGAGTCGGCATATCCCCCTAAATCGACGTCCATATAGCCTTACAGCACGGCATTTCCTTCTTCAAAGCGGAGGCATAAACTTGTCATTCATATGAGATACTTGAAGATCCACTTCACGGCTTCCAAATATTCTTTGCCAGGGTTTGATAGATACTGGCTTACCATTCCAATAGCATATGCCTAGTCGGGGTTCGTACATACCTTCTTCAAGGTTGTCGTGAAGAAATATGGTCTTCACATCCATTTGTTTAACTTCAAGGTCCATTGATGCCGCCATGGCTAATACAGTTAGGACCGAAGTCATTTTCACAACAGGAGAGAAAAAATTTTCAAAATCAACTCCTTTCTTTTGATTGCAACCTTTAACCACAATTCTGGCCTTGTATCTTGAATTTTAGCCGTTCTCTTCATGCTTAATTTTATAAACTCATTTATTCTTTAGAGCTCATCTTCCTTAAGGCAGCTCGGTCAACTCATACATCTGATTTTCGTGCAAGGACTTCGTCTTGTCTTGCATTGCTTTTTCTCATTCTTTATTTATTGAGCTTGTCATGGCATCATCATAGCTTTTAGGTTCTTCATCTTCAGTAACAATAGTGTACTCGTCAGGTAGGTACCTTGTAGAAGGTCATATCACTCGTGCAGAATGTCTGACTTGTACTTCGAGTTGTGAGTACAGCTCATCATTCTCATCTCAGACCTCAAGATGACTTGTATCAACTTGTCTTTCTTCATCACCTTCAGCATGTGGTTCTTGTTGTTGCTGGTCATTTACTTTAATTTCTTGATTATTTTCTCCCTCTGCTTCAGCTCAGACATGAAGGACGGGTTCTTCATTTTAGACTGCGACCTTGACTTTGGGATTCGAAATGTCTTTGATTCTCTCATCTTCATGGAAGAATTCATCTCAGTTTCTCACTATTTTCTTGTTTACAGGATCCCAATGTCAAAATTCAAACTCACATTCGGCGAACCGAGGTAGATACATTCTTTAGTCTTCATGTCATTTTTTGTCCTCTCATCTTTGGGGATATAAATGAAAGCTTGGCATCCAAATACTTTCAAATGATCATATGACACTTTTCGTCCTGACCATACTTCTTAAGAAATTTCTCCTCCTAGTGGCCGTGATGGTGATAGATTTATCAAAGCAATAGCAGTTCTGATGCTTTCTCCCAGAATGAATTCAGTAACCCACAATGGGATAACATACTTCAGACCATTCCTTCAATAGTTTGGTTCATCCTTTCAGCAACTCTGTTCAGCTGAGGAGTCTTTGGGGACTTCTTCTTCAGTCTTTTCCTGGCCTCACTACAATAAGCATCAAATGGACCGCAGTACTCACAACCATTGTTAGATTGGACCACTTTCAGCTTGTTTACAGTTTCCCTCTCCACTATAGCATGAAATTCTTTAAAGGCATAAAGTACCTGATCTTTAGACTTCAACAAATACACTTACACTTCACGAGAATGGTTATCAACAAAAGAAACAAAGTATTGCGCTTTGCCAACTGACTTTTTCGACATGGAGCAAACATCAGTATGGACGAGGTCAAGAATGTATCTGCATCATCTGGGTTGATCTGGTCTCACAAAAGAAACTCGGAGCTGCTTTCCAGCTAGGCAGTGCGTGCAACTCTTCAACACTTGACCTTTCAACCTGGTCAAAAGTGCTTTCGTGTTCAAGATTTGAATTCATTACTCACTCATATGGCCAAGGCGCTTGTGCCACAACTCTATGCTAAGTCCATCTCAGACAAAGTTGGCTTCTCCTCCATTTATCTTTCCTTGCTCACATACAAGGAGTCCTATTTCTTGTCTCTGGTAACTATCAAGTTTCCTTTAGTCAATTTCCATCTTCCTCCTCCAAAATTCACTAAGCCAGCATCATCAAGTTTTCCTACCAGGATTAGGTTCAGCAGCATGTATAGCACATGCCTTACTTCTTTCAATACAAGTTGGCACTTGACATCTGTGGTCAGAGTTACATCTCCGACTCCTATAATCTTACTTGTCAGCTATTTTCCATTTTTAACACTCTGAAGTCACCATTTCTGTAGGAGGAAAAAAAAGCTCTTGTGTGGGGTGACATGGAAGGAGGCACCAACATCAACAATCCAGGTGCAATCATCATAAGCGACAATCAAAAAATATCTTCTCCAAGGAGGAATACCTCGGCATTAGTATTGGCAATCACCGCAATAGTGCTCTTGTGTTCTTTCCTTTTTGGTACTATCTGATCAGGCTTCACAGTGTTGTTCTTCTAATCTTTCTGCAGAGTTCAGCAGTCAAGCTTCTTGTGGCTGGACTTCCCACATTAGAAGCATTTTAATTCAAATTTCGGCCTAGACCGGCCTCTGGACTTGTCATGACTATTATGACCCCAAGCGTCGGACCTTCCTTTATTCTTAGTAACACTTTCCTCGGACGTGCAATTACTCCTCTTTCTCTTCTCCTAGACTCCTCATTCAGCTGGTTGTCAGTCACGACATCCATTGTCAACTTTTCATCTGGATCCGAATTACTCAAAGTCACCACTAGGGTATCCCAGCTTTCCGACAGCAAACTCAAAAACAGTAGAGCTTGCATCTCGTCATCAATCTTCATCTCGGCTTTAGGAAGCTGATTCACAACACCTTTGTATATGTTAAGATGCTCAATCATACTCATGTCGTCCTTGTATTCGAACTTTATAAGTCGACGAACCAGGTGTGCTTTGTTCCTGGGAGTTATTTTTTTAGGAAAATTAAAAAGAGAAATACCTTTGAGGAAAATAAAAGTAACATAAAGGTGAAAAAAAATACACTCATCTTTTGGGGCTAAACTTCCTACTTTTGTTGTCAAATAATACTACTTTGAGCAAATAGAAATTCTCCCTTTGTTGGATGTAATTCAATTTTTATTCTCTAGATAGTTTTCTACTTTTCTATGCGATAGTTGCGGAAAGGGAGAATAATATTAGAGAACTATCGAGTGAAAGATATTAAGTTAAGAGTTAAATTTGAAATTAAAAAAATAAAACCAAGATAAACATAAAATAAAAAAAAGGAAAAACGTTTGTCATTTTAAAGGACATAACTTTATGTCATTTTAAATGAAATGAGGTCGTTTTGGTATATACTTGGTGATTTTTTATATTTTCTTTCCTCCATAACATTATGAGTATAAATGTGAGAGAATGTAAAAAAAATCACCAATTGTGTACCAAAACGATTTCGTTTTATCTAAAATAATACAATGTTGTGTCATTTAAAATAACAAATATTTTTTCCAAAAAGTAAAATAAAATTAATGAATACATGTGATTTCTTCCTAAGTCCATCAACTCATCACGAAGATGTCCTATGTGTTTTGAACTTGACTGAGTGCCCGTTTGGATGTGCTTTTTTTCCTAAAAAAAGTTGTTGTTTTTTTAAACAAAAGTCCTTTGGAGAATTTTTAAATATTTGAATAACAACTTTTTAAAAAAGTAAAATTTAAAATTTGAATAAAATGCTGATTTTTTTAGCCAGTAGCTAGTTTCTTTTGAGAAAAGCAGAAATTAAAAGATAATATAAATTTTTTTTGGAAATAAGATAATATAAATTTTTAAAATAAAATTTTAACCTCATCCTATCATACTTATTTTATCTCTCCTTATTCCACGATCATGCTATTTTATCTCTCCTTTATTGTAATTTTATATATAAAAAGTGTTTTTTACTTATTTTAACATCCAAATAATTTTTTAATATAAAAGTGATTTCAGATCATATATCCAAACGTAAAATAACTTTATCTTTTACAAAAAATTCTTTTAAAAAAAATAATGCATAAAAAGTCATTTTTCTTAAAAACTCATCCAAACGGACCCAGTCACACAGGACCGCATTGTGCTTAAATTTCCTTTCCCTTTAGTCTCGTTGAAGTTGTTGCATGGTTTTACTGCTAACTAGGAAAATTTCATATATCACTATGTACGTGGATTAATTAACACATGGTTATTTTAACTTAATCGATAATCTTGGATTCATATAACAGAATCAATGAAGAAATTTAAAAAAAAAAAAAAAAAATCTCATACATACAAATAAGCATATCAAACTATATTAAAGGATGTTCAATTTTCCTTTCCCTTTAGTCTTGGGGAAGTTGTTGCATGGTTTTATTGCTATTTGGGAAAATTTTATATATCACTGTGGATCAATTGACATGTGGTTGTTTTAACTTAATTAATAATCTCGGATTCATATAATCAAATAAACGAAGAAATCTAAACAAAAAAAAAAAAAAAAAAATATCCCATACATACAAATAAGCATATCAAATTACTATTAAATTTTGTTTGAATGGTGCAAATGGCGGAGGAAAGGGATTGATAGGTGTCATACCTTCAACAAATTCCTCTTTGGATAGTGACAAACTTTAAAAAAAGAATCATATAATTTTTATATTGTATTATCTTTGGCTAATGCAAATATTGTAAAACAAACTCTTAGTTTGAAATAGATAGATTTAGGGCTTTATGTATTACATGTTACAGAACAACAACAATGTTTTCTGCACACACAATAAGTTAATGGAGTCTACCAATTTATTTTTCTCACTCCTCATTACTGTCTGCTGGAAACAATGCACTTTATCCTACAACATAATTGTTGTATTTCCCATAGATTTATTGGTTTGTGTGTTTTGGGTTGCAATTGATAATAATTATATAGGATTTTATAAGAATTTTGTGATTGTGTAATGTTATAGAGATTCGATTTGTCGTTTTTTTTTTCCTTCAAAAAGTGTGAGTCCCACAAAATGTTGTGTGTGTAAGAAACTTTGTTGTATCATGTTAAATGACAAATGCAAACACCAATTATATATTAGTAAAGTAAGCACATGAGGGTTTAGCCCATCTTTTCAATCATTATGGACTTGACAAGTTGACCCATCAATCAAAAGGGCCAAAGATAACTAGCCCACTTCAACTCATGGGCTGGGGGCGGAGCCAGTCCAATGAAATTATTTAAGATTATGGTGAAAAAATTACTGAATAATAATTTAATATAAATTATTTATTATACGATCATGTATAAATATTTATAATTTATAAAAATATTAATACTTGCTTGAAATATTAATTATTTTAATTTTTAGTTTAAAAAGAAATGTTTTGAGTTATGTGAGTGGAGAGTCACCCAACTCGTTCTAAATTATGGTTGAATCAGGTAAGTCGGAAAAAAAAAAAAGCTGGTTCAACATTGTCTATCAAAAAAAAAAAAAGCTGGTTCAACATTTTGTACTT